TCAAGGTGAGACGAGTCGAATTACCCAAGGCTGTGACTTCTATATAGGATCTCATAAGTTAGATAACCATATCATGACAATTCTGCGGTACTGCATCAGGTCTATGGTTCAATTAGCTCAACTCATAATGAGTAAAAGGTGTACTTACAGTCCGTTCTATCATGTTTTGTCTCTAATTTCTGGGTGTCACTCCAAACTTTGTGTTGAGATTGGGCCTAAGTAGTTGTTTTGAGGAGGGGTCCAGCAGTGTTTAGGATGTTGTTAATCGCTAGAAAGTCACCTGTGAGACGTCTATACTCTAGTGAGTATAGATTTGATGATTTGGGGCGCTCTTCATAAGGTTTGAATTCGACTTTCCGAACTGATTTCGTGGCTCGCCATCGGATACTTTCCTGTGTATTCTTGTTCTTTTGGAGTGAGAAGGAAACACTATGTTTCCATTCTCTAAATGGACTCGAATAAAACTGTTCAAGATAAGGTAGAAAGTTCTTTCGTCATACTGACCAAAGTGCACTTCAACCTTACCAGTAAAAGGTTTGCTCGAAAAGGATTTCTTTCACAGTTATTGCAAGAATTCAAATTATAGGGCACCAACACTCTTGGGATACCTCTAGAGAGGGAGTTATTTAAGTTTTATTCGTGGTCTGCAGACGGATTACTTTACACTTTGGAATGTTAAAGATAATCCTGTTGGTGTTGAGTCAGGTACTCATGAAGCTCAAGATTATCCTTTTGGTCGCAAACTTCCTTACAGAGTTTAAAAACATCAGCGAAAATTAGTTACTGTACTGTGGAAGATCGTTTATGGAAATTGAGAAAATATGTCTTAGTACTGAGGGTCGGTGGACCCTGATAGGACATTGCATGTCCTGAGAAAAATTGAAGTTGATATCGACCTTGAGAGATCGAGCTCTTAGATATGAAGTAAGCCAATCAATCAATGGTGACTTGACGTCTAATCGTTTGAGCTTATCGATGTGACATGTGGAACATAGCTTATCAAAAGCTTTTGAAAATCAAGGTCCGTGACATCAACCTTCCCTTTGCGAACAAAGATAGTTGTTCATCTGCTCACTATGGTCGGCAGGTTGATCATACAGGAGTGAATCTTCCTGAAACTGTGCTGTTGGGGTTGAAGATGCCATAGGTATTCGGAGTTTGACAACGCTTTAACCAATAACACCTTCCATTATGAATCGTACCCACCAAGTGAAGTCAAAAGTCAAAGGTGAGGAGGTTCAAAGATACATTTGATAGGCTGTCAATATGTCGATGGTTGACTGATCTAGACTGGCTAGCGATTGCAGGGGATGTTGTGCACGGCGTTCCCACTAGTGACCTTGTCCGGGGGCATGGCAGAGCACCGTCAGCAAGGTAAGTCCACTAAAACTAAGGTGGTCAGCATCGAATATCGAAAACTTACAGAACTATTGATTTTGGGGATTTACTTACCGCTACTAGGTGAAAAGATGTTTTACGGATACTAAGTAGTTACAGAGACCACAGTATGTATGAGAGACTCGATAACTTTTGAGGCTATATGTACTGAATTTTGATATTTTCAAGTTTTCGCGAGGAGATTGATAAAAGAAGTTTATCCCTCAGTGTCCAAGATGCCTCCTCTATAATGCGAGCAAAGATTACAAGAAAGTAACATTTGATTGTCCCACATAGTAGATTTTTAAGTTTGAAAAATAGAACCTCATGAAACTCTTGGCATGAAAATTCAAGATGTTAAGAGCTGGTAATAGATTCGGCAGATAGTTTCACACTGTTAAAGACAACAAATAGAGACACTTATGGCGTTTGGTTTTGTTGAAATGAAGCGGATTGGATTAAATAACAATTCCGGCGGCATTTAGAGTGCTGGCGCGTCCAAACATAATCCCGAATTGTTTTGTTCCCACTGGAGTTTCGCGCGTTATCTCGTTAGTGGTTGAGTTCTTAACTATCACTTTGTTGCATGCCAAATGTATTAAGAACTTTTGTTTATTCATTTGTGTATTGACTCCAGAAGTTGACGGGTTGGAGAGTATTTTATTTTAATACCAGCTTCCAACTTAGGGAAACGCTTGAGGTTTTTATTGTGTTGTCAGAAAATTGGAAAGTCCATTACTTCATGTGCTTTGTTTGTGCCTGGCTTATGGTCATATAGTAGTTATTAATTAGTGGAGCCATCTTTATCATCTAGGGTATTTTAGTCTACCTACTCTACCGTCTAGCTATTCAAGGCTCTTTGGAGCATGTAGCGCTATACATTAACAAATTGGTAAGTGAACACGTTAGGTTTGTGTAGTTTGCTGAATCTTACGGGTGACTATATTTACAATCTTCATATACATGAATGGTGGTCGTCAGGTCTTATCTTTCCTTAGTGGGTACAAATAGAAACTTTAAGCGGTTTCAAGGGCAGTAGAACTCACCTCTTTAATGTGGTCTCCTGTAGTATTTTATACGGGTTATGGGATCCGTGTATCAAGAATAAAAGTTGGAAATCCTGGGTCTCTTACTAAATTTTCTTTATTTACACGATCTATCTGTCCTTTTTGTTGCCTTTTTGGGTTCCATCATCCTACTCTTCAACCTTCACCTTCACATTTAATCGTTTACGCACATAAGGTTTTGTCAACTTCATCTCGTACCAGGCAAAGAACGAGTACTCTGTGCAGCACTCTGCTCTGCTGTACTTTGTGGGTATGAACCATGAAGATTAGGAATGATGAATATTTGTAAGTTATTGGTATTTAGTTATAGTTTTCGTCAAAGTGTCACCTGCTTACTTTCGAACCACCAAGTGAGATGTAGTGAAGTTAGGGTAAAAGGTAAATGTAAAAATTTGTTAGTCAGTTAATGAGTCTTCCATTGATGTAATCAAGACATGTGTTACGTGTACTCAACTACCACGTTGGTGTAGGAATAGATTGAAAAGAGCTAGGGGTGGCCAGGCCAAAATATGGCATCAGTTCATGTTTTCAGGAACTGGGCCAAGCTCACAGATTAAAGGTTACCTGGTTGGTGTCCATGCGATTATCGCAACCAGTGTTTGGAGATGCTGTGCATGGTTTAAAATCGTTCTCGATGGCACAGGTATATTCACTTTTTGCCTTCCCTTGGAGCCTGAGTACCGAAATCTCCGTATAATTTTCTCATTTCTATTCCTAATCTTTTCTACTGCTCCTACTGTTACTGGTTTTAATTCTCTTGGATGTCTTGGTAATTTTGTCTCTCTGCTAATAAAGTGTGACAACTCGGACCAGTAAATATATGACTGAACAAGACATATCAGTCAGCTACAACGTAGGACCAGGCACATACGTGCATTGGTCGAATTCATAGAAGTAGTTAATTCAATGGTAATATATAAAAGAAAGATTGCATATAAGGGCATAGTACAGGAAGGAAGAATTAGTTCATAGAAAGAAAGATATGAAGCTATTTTTATCTCACGGTTTGAGGGAAGACAGAGAGTGTATACACCGACGCCATTATGATCGATTCTGAGCCATGTCACTTGTCAATGTACTTCCGAAACAATTATATTACGAAACTTTCTTATTGACCATTAAGTCCGACCGTTTTGCGCCACTTACTCTGGAGTTCGAAGTCTGCTTCAGTTAAGGAAACTATGAAGTGTCACTAGCTCACATCTAGTGTTTCTTGTGCTTAAATATCTGGTAAATGACCTGATTTGTCATATTTACTTCGTAACTATAATCACTGTTTTGAATGTAGGAAAAAGTTAGCTTACATGTACTCAATCACAAATGTATCGTTGCTTGTGTGTGTTTGAATAATTCACTAAAAGGCACTCATTAAACACGAAGTATTTCTACTTTTATTGAGATGAAAATGAACTTAGCTTAAGAAAGTGATGGTTGACTAATGGCAGGCAATTTTGATTGTAGAGCAAAATATGAAAGGCCAAACAGTATTTTAATTCATCAGGTGTGATACTAAATGTTTCAAAGTGGGGATTCAAAAATGTCACGATTAGGCTTAAGTCGAAAAATACGGAGCTTTGGATTGATGGGTCTAAAATTTGGTAACACACTGAAGGTCATTTTGCAAAAGCATCTCAGGTAGGGACAACACTCACTACTTATCATTAAAGTTAAATAACATCCCATCTGTCTATTCTTTTACAATTTCTTCTGCAATGGCGTGCTGTCAACAGCACTGAAGAAAGTAAGTGATAGTGGTGGTAATGTCACTTGAGAAAAGTTTCTTTTTAGCCTTGAGTATATTGATAATACTGTCTTGTCGTACGGTCACATAATAGCTACTCATATTGTATCTGTCAGCTGGTCAATACACGTAATTATGGAACGTTCTTCAGAAAGTGTGATGAGTTTATCGAACAGGTTCATAAGACTTAGGAATTCACAAAATATTAGTCTCATATTTAATAATTCAGCAAGTGACCATGATTCTGTTTATTCTTTCCATATAATAATGTGAATAATATGTCTATTTGAAGCAATAATCTGAATGCAATTCTATAGTGACACTTCTCGTTCTTAGTTTCTAAACCCATATGTGAGCGCTACTTAACTGTAATTGAGATGAATAAAACATTGACCGTTTTATCATTTGAGTTGTATTTTTTTAATATTATCGTGATTATTACTACCACATGCCTTCCGTTCCTTCACAACATCGTTTCGTTTTATATGGCACATTTTGGTGATCTTATATCAAGCTCTCACTTTGTAAACAAATTTATGGTGCTTACATCATTGTTCTCACCTTATGTATATTTTAATATTATGATGGTTTGATTCCATGTGTAATGCTCTTCAAATTAGCTGTTTTTAAACTGGGACTCTGTAGCATGGTATTCTGAATGGCACTACAGGTAATACCAGGTAGCAGTTTTCTCTATACTTTAAATGCTGTGAAATGCTGGTTAAGCGTAAATGTATTTTTCCTGGTTTTGTTTTAACATTGTCTTTTGTAGATTGATTTGATAAAAATATATTTTGGCGTCCTGTTATTTAATAATGTCAGCAAAACATTTCGCTTCCAAAGAAAAAGTATTATCTTCGTAAAAATACTAGTTTTTAGTTATTCAAAATCTTAAAAGAATTTCAAGCACGGTTCAATTCTCCGTTCCGACTCGCTGAAGCGACTAGATGGTGTGAAAGCTACTTCCTACGTGAGGGTGGTAACGTCGAAACTGTTGGCGTGTTTTTAGAATTTATCCTGAGTTTGGGATTCGTTTATCAAGTTGACCAAAACATGTTCTTTTCCAGATACTAGTAAGGTCTTATTTCTTTCCAGATACTTTTCTAGTTTTAACGTGAAAAGGATTGAGGAGTTTTTTAGCACCTTTTGCAGATTGACAGATGGAAGTTCCACAAAAGGTTAGTTTCACTTTTTCTATAAGGTTTAAGTTACCTTTAGCTGTTAGTTGGTTAAGTCTTTCGTTCCGTATTATTTCTCTGCTTAACAGTTATCAAAATCATATTAATTTATGGGTCCTATCACAATGTTTTGTATACTGGGGGACTTGTGTTTAACCTACTGTCTAATATTAATAACAGAGTACAAAAAGTAAGTCATATCTAACATTCGTTAGTACTGTAGATGGTAAATGAGTTAATACAGGACAATTGTTCAACGAGACAAGACTCACTTATGAGATATATTGAAGTTCCTTGTTTTCGTTATAAGCACGTAAGTAGGCTGTGTTTATTGAAGTGACATAATTGTAAGTGGGCTTTTCTAGTTCAAGATGATTAAGGACATGGCCTTCGCTCCTGTTTTCTTGTATGTCTTCGGATATGTTGTTAGATGATATGATGAGTCAAATAATTCCGTGTCTATATCAATTTCAAACTTAAGTAAATTAGGTTGTGTAGATCGCGTATTGGAATAAACTCTTCGTTTAATCCCAACCACAACACCACTACCCAGAAAAGTGTTCCAATCATTACTGGCTAGAATATTTCTCCGTAAGCTTTGGAAGTGAGTACTAGATTGTTCTAGTTAATTTATATTTGTCTGATCATACATAAACTGTTATTCTATGTAGTTAACAATAGTTGATTCAAAAAGAGTAAAATGCTTAAGTTCTTAAATTATGTAGTGGTAGGATTGTGTTTATCTGTCATTCAGAAGATAATAGTTCTTGGAATCGTAGTAATTCATATAAAGAGGAATACAGGAGGTAGTTAACTTTTTCCTCTGATTGTACTTCACTGAGGAGTAGTATCGTAGTGATTAAGGCCCTCAGCTTCTAGTTATTTAGTTGTCGGTTCGAACGCCGCTTCGCCTATTTTGATTTTGATGACCCGATATTATCTATAGCTTTTGTATAAAATGGTTTGACTCATAGCTGAGTACAATTGAGTTGCATCTATTTTGTCTAAATTGAGGCAGTTTAATCCACTTTTATCAAAGTAACCAATTTTGATAAATTTTATCTTATTTATGCTGGACTACTATGAAACAACTTAAACCATCTGCATATCAAATATTCCTACTTATTTTGTTCATTAATAATGTTTTCTGTTATTCATTATATAGGCAAAAGTCAGCTAAAAAGTGCTGATGAGTCCGGTATCCGATCTCTCGATAATTCTCAAGAAGATGTATTTGAAAATAATATCTGTTGTAACTCTGTCTTAACCAATACAAAATCTCATTTATGGTTCGAAGAGATAATTAGACGGTAAACTACTAAAAATTGGTTTTTTACACTTAAACTTTAAAAATTTATAATCTGACTTATTCATACAAAATACAACACCATGGAGTAATATAATAATCATTTACCTACTTTATAATGTAGTTGAACATTTGAATTTTTCGCTAGCACAGTCTTTTCATTTTTCTTCATCTTTATTTTTATATGATCAGTTTGTCCTGCGTAATGGAAACAAATAGAAATGAGCTGATGTCAATAATGGGATCGTCGGACACTGATTCATCTACCTCCTCACTGCCTAATGATTTTTCAATAGATATGGGTACTGCCGCTTACACAAACAGTATAGCGTTAGAAAATTGGCATAATTGCTTAAAGAATTCAACTGGGAAATTAGTCAGTCATGTGGCTATTACTTGTCTAGATGCATTGTCCAAATGTAAGCATCATTAATTATGAACTCAAACTATGGTTGTTTTTATAGGGCCAAATAATATCGGTCATCAATCGAAAGTTTGTGAAAGAAAACGTCTACCAAGTTCACTTCTATCCATTACAATTTCCCATTTGGAAAACTTTCAACATTGCTGCATCCCAAAGACAGCAGAATTACTTCTGGATCATATTTTTTGTGAGTTGGTGATAATCTTTTGTGTGTATATTTTAAACTATTTGTAGATAAGCTTTGCACTTTCTATAGATTATCATCTGTTCTAGGTCTAAAATTGAACAGTTTTATTTATTTTTTTTTAATATTTATTTCAACACATAGATATTGGTACAAGAAGGCACCAAATACATATGCGCCACACAAATCTTATTCGATATGTGCGAGGGCTGTGATACTGCCCGGGTGCCCAAACCGAAGCAGGTGGTTTTCTTAGGGGGCCACTACCCGAGCCTTTGACCTAGAGGTCTGACCCACAAGGCAGTGGAGCATCGTAAGGAGATGCAGTCCCATGGTAGCCGGTGACCAACGATTGGTTCATACACCATTTGTTCCCGCAGGATACTGGAGCCCATGTGCACCATCAGCTTGGGATCCGGTTAAACGCCGTACATTCGCTTTTCGTCCTCTCATTTTTGTAAATAACACCCCCGCCACGAGAAGGCAGTGAGTAGGACTTCCCTGGCAGAGGCTATATACGCGTGGCCATGTGAGAGCATTTCGAGAGGGAGAGCGGACTTTCCCCACTCTCGGCCGTACCAGGGCATTTGGGGGCAAAATTGAACAGTAAAAGTAAGATGACGAGTATAGTCAAAATATTGTGTTTATAAGAGACGAACTTGCATTTATTTTTTATTTATTTAAACACTAATACAAATGAACACCAAAGTATGCTCCATTCAATAAAAATGAAATGATGGAGAGATAAAGGAAGGTGAGAGTAGCAAATGATAAGAAAAACCATTCACTTAAGAAAAATACAGTCACAAAATATTTTTTTCAGTTAAGGAGGTCCCTCTCACTTTCATGAAGAAAGCAAAGAAAATTACATTAGGATCAACACCGGTTTATATTCTGATCCATGTTTGATAAGATTTCAAGCCATTGAATTGCACTATCTCTAGGACTCCACTTCTGTCGTTTTGAATGATATTCGTGTTTAGTTTTTTTTCTATCATTGATATTACTATGATTTCCATTCTTGACTGCTCATCTTATCAATCTCATCTTACTGTATTGTCGGTGTTATGACAAGTTGGATGGTTTCACATTTATGCTACATCTTACATTGACTATAGCTGACTGGAACTGACAGTTAAAAAATACTGTGGTGCATATTGTCTTACATTTTCAAAAATCTTTATTTTCGATTGTATCTTCATTCATCTAATGATTTCCATACTTCAGAATCTGGTTGAGCTATTAGCTTTTTGTTGGTCTCATGTTCAGTAATAAGTCAAATAGCGAGTTCCATGCTGATTGAATGTATTTTCTTTGGTGATTGCGAAAGTCCTGCTTATTTGAAACATTTTGTCCTTAATGTGTATATTTGTGCATTTAAGTTTGTGATCATAAGGTTAGTGTCCAGATAATTTTTTGTTAAGTCCAGAAATATGGTTGACAGTAACTGAATTAATCTTTGATCCAAGGTATAAAAGTTGTGTTTCCAACCTCTGAATACTTTTCATCATTCACAAATTGTCTAATTTTACAACTTGAAATAAATCCATTTCTAGATGAGCTTTATTTTCATAATCAGTTTACCTTTATACTAATTAAGCTATTCTTTCTTTTTTTAAATGTGTTTTCTATAAATCAAAATATATTATTCATATTTGGTGAATTAATAGTTATTATTGTCTAGAATTTAAGGTTAGTTTATACAAACTATATCATATCGGGATCACTTCTAATCGTTTCTGTAATAACTAAGCACAAACCAACATAAATAATTATTATTAGTAATCAATTGAGTTTCCATTTATATAATGGAACAGTCTAATACCTTTAGTTCTTTTTAAGAAAAGTAATGATTGGTGCGATTTTGTTTTTAGGCAGCTTTCCAGATGCGAAACTTTTAGCGACAATGAATAGTCTTCTTAAAGGTTGGATTAATTCCGTTTCAAGTAACGCCAATGACTTAAAGCCGTTTGAAAAAACATATTCTCCTAATGTGATAAATTCACATGGTGGTGATAAAAATAATCTCCAAAATATTTCACTCCCACCTTTAACTACACCTTTAAGGGATACAAACAATTTGCATAAAAAAGTTTATGGACATTCATTATCTAAAGCTTTTACACCTGACGACAACTCATGTAAGTTTATGTATGTTTTATTATAATCTTAAATGTGCATCACAAAGTTAATATGTTATTTTATTTTGTACATAATAATTGTTTCGACGGAGGCTTGGTGCCTGTGCAATAATGTGTAGTCGAACATTTGACCTGATTATCCTAGCTTTTCGAAAACACTGGAGTTTTTTGTGGTGCGGGGTCGTGGATGCGCACTGCTGAGGAGTCCCATACTAGGACGAAACGGCCGTCCAGTGCTTCCAGGTTTTCATTGGTGGTCTAGTTTCAACTGACTCATGAGTTCAATCTGTGAAAATTTTTTGTCATCTGTTAGTCTGTGTTTCCATTATTTTCATTTCTTTACGCATATTTCTTTCAAGTGACACCTGTGTTTTATATCCATGTCGGAGCAATGGAATCACATCTAGCGTCTATCGTTAGTTATACCTTTAAGCTAAATGTTCGTTTTATGACATGTGATTTAGATGGGCTACTTACGTTTCAGTGATCATAGTCGGATTACATCACGAGATTGTTATGTTCAATAGTAGGAAATTTGTACGGTGTTGATCGATTCGGATCGTCTTATGTAACATCCATATTGAATACATATTTAGGGGAGAACTATCGTTGTCAGTCACTTCCATAATCATGTATAAATTAACTTATTACTGTGGCTAAATGTGTAGACTAAATACAGAAATTTGTATTTCGACGCACATGACAACGGCTCGACTTGATTCATTAAAAGTATTTATAGACCTGTCAGCAACCCTTTTCGCAACATTCTCGCCTAACTGTTCTTTTTCCGGGGTTTAAGTCACGCTCATTTTTCAAGGACATCGATGTTACACAGGCGCCTAAAACTAAGTATATGGAGGTAAGGTCAAACTTGCTACCTTGTATTTGAAGGTTTAGTGCGTAGTCATTTCAAAATAAGTAGAATCGCTTTTATTCTGCGTTGCTGAAACTTGAAAAAATCAAAAATCAAAATAAAAATTATATACAGACGCAACTTCTTGTTATTTGTTAATTTTGACGTATGATATTTCTCTCAAGTTATTTTTTATCTTGTGAGCTGGTTAAACTGCACGTTATTTAAGTTGTTCGATACGATTATGTTCCATGTTTTAATTTATCGTTTTAAAATATAATTATCTCCCTTTTTGCTAATGTTATAATTTCCCTTTAGTCACTGAATACCATCCTATTTCTCCGATTGTAAACTGTCTAAGATTTGATGTAAGGGCATCTGATCCTGGTCACAACTGTGAAAATGTAAGCCTATTTTATTAGTATCAGTATACTTTAATGACTATACATATTTTCATTTTCGTACACTGAATTATTTTTTGAATGATTCGATTTCATTTTCTCGAATACATGAAATTTGTTGATTTATTCCTGTTTTGCGGTTTTTTCAAAAATTTAGTATATGAACTCGATACACACTTACTTACTTAATCATTCGATGAAACACCATTAAAATGATAAGTTACAATTTTTTGAATTGGTTTTAGCTAGTTTTCTCATTTGTTCTATATTTGAGAAATAAACGGTAGATGGACTCTGGATATAATGTACTGTAAATAGTTGTGGGAAATCAAAGCTGTCAAGGGAATTTTCTATACTATCTTCGATGTGCTTTATTATTATTATTAGTACTATTATTTATTATTATTTATTATTATTGACTTAGTATTCCTGACCATTTCACAGAACACATGAGAATAACTGATGGAAAAGTATTAAGTTTTCCTGTGATGTAATTTCATTACGTGCATAAAACAGAAAGTTAAGTTAAAAGCATTTGATAATTTACTTTTGAAAAATAATAGATAATTCAGATATTGGTGAAAACGATGATTGGTCAGTGGTTTGTTGATCATTCACATCATTTTGCTCATGTTTAATACATCAGTATTTGTATTTCTCAGTTTCTTTCTATTTATTATACAGATTAAATTGTATTTTCCTATATTCAGTCAAAGTTATGAACACCACATCTGATCATTTAGAAACGAAATTAGTCAAAGTGAATTCTAAATGGGTAAAATTCTTTTTTAAACACTTGTGTAAAATCATGTAAACATCAAGTCAGTCGTCATGAGATTTTATTGTCTATTTGTTTCAATTCAGTTAAGTAGTATGTTAATTCAAACGGGGAAATCAAGAAGTCACAGTGTCTCTGAACCAGTTCATCAGTGAGTTACCATGCAAAAAATGTATTATGTTGTTAATTTATGATTTAAAAGATAAAAAATATTGATAACTAAATGTTATTTTTATCCGAAATTGATATTATGTTATACAATTGCTAAAGGTCATCGAACAGCTGTTTCATTGTATTTTGAAGTGCTTGATGGTTATCAATCTACCACAACGCCATTCTGTACGACACAGTTTCATTTCGCTTATCATAATATAGAATTCTTTAATCCTTAGGGTTTCTTTATCTATAGTATCATGAACCAGTGGCTTAGTGATTAAACGACTCAATTTTCAACCGTTTCTTTAAAAGTTCGAATATTCTTCCATCTATAATAATTAAGATTACCGAGTAATATGACTTGCGCTCAATAACGCGAAGCTGTTCTGGTTATAAGTTACACATTTGTAAAAGCAGGTTATCACCATGATTATTTCCTGATGACTTATTTCTGTAACATACGGTTTCATTTAGGGTTGCTTGTAACCTGAATATTTTACAATAGTGGTGCCAGTAAACTAGAAGACAAACCTTCAGAACTTGTGATGAGCATAACAAATCAGTTAAAAGATATAGATTTTCACTGGGTGATTTTGTGTGTGGACGAGTATGGTTTCAACAACCTATGTGCAGCATGCAGTTTTTAATGTATATAAACAAAGGCTTGATCTAATATAAATTTATGCGTGTGAATAAAGAAAGAAAGGAGCAAAAATAGTGAATATATTCAAAAAAGTATATGTGCATATCTATAATGAATGGAGTTAAACAAATTAAATTAACTGGCTACTAGTTATGACACTTCACAGTAAAAGCCGAGATCCTCCGGGAGTCATGAGGCCGATGCCTCTTCTACAAGCAGAGCAACAGTCAGTATGGGTACATGGAATGTTCGGATAATGAGGGAGACCGAGAAAACCAGTCATATAGCTACGGAAATGAGGGGATACAACTTATTGATGCCCGGAATAAGTGAAGTCCATTAGACCAAAGCTGGATAAAAAAGATTAGCTTCGAGAGAGATGCTGTTAGACTCTGGTCTGTAGAAGTAAATGCTTCGCACACGCAGAGAGATGCACTGATGCTATCCGAAGAAACACGAAAATCATTTATTGGATGGGAATTTCTTGGATGCAGAATTATCAAAGTGTCCTTCGAAATAGAGAAGAAAATCACAATTAAGCTTATCCAGTGTTGTGCACTCACCAATGATATCAATGACCACGATGAAGAGCAGTTTCTTCAGGCTGCAGTCGAACATATATAAGTGCTCAGGAAATGACCTGATCATCACACTACAGAGAACCAGACTGATCATTTCTGTATCATTAAAAAAATTCAGAAGTCAATCAAAGACGTGAGAACCAAGAGAGGAGCCGACATAGAGTCAGATCACAGCCAACTGGTGGTTACCAAGATGAATCTGAAGCTTAAAAAGAACTGGACAACTGGAAAAATAGCATTATAAAGGTTCAATACAGCCTTACTTCGACATGTTGTCAAACTCAACAAATTCAAGATAGCTTTCAACAATAGGTTCCGAGCCTTACAAGATCTACTGAAAGAAGGAACTAGTATGGAGAACAACTAGGAAGGGATCAAAGAAGCACTGACTTCAAAAAGTCAAGAGGTTCCTGACAGCAAGAAGCATCATCATAAGGAATGGATCTCTATCGAAACCCTAGACAACAGTCAAGAAAAGAAGAACAAGAAGACAGCAATTAACAACAATCGAACAAGAACAGATAAAGTCAAGGCACAAGCTGAATACACAGAAACAAGCAAGAAAGTGAAGAAGAGCTTTGGAGCCGAGAAGCAGAAATACGTGGAAGATCTAGCAATGACAGCATAAAAAGCTGTCAGAGAAGGGAATATCAAACAACTATATGACACACTGAAGAAACTGGTAGGAAAATATAGTAAACCATAAGGTAAAACACTTGGAGGAACTCTTGGATAGGTCAGCTTCTTCGTACTATTTAGACTTTGGTTAATTTTAATGTGGTTATTTATTCTTTGAGGAAGTGGCTTACACTGAGTCACGAAACGTCGGAAAGTCTAATTTTTCTACTCATTGGGTTATTACGGACATGTTTTTTTATTTATAACAATCTACCCAATGCTCAATTTATCTGAAATTATCAAGTCAAACCTTGGTAATGATAATTAAAACCTTCCATGTATTCATTTCACTTAGGGTTTTATGACATTTCCATACACGAATTCATCTTGTAAATATGATGGAATTTATGGGGAGTATGAAGTAATTCAGTTTAACCATTCAATGAATTATTATGTAAGAACCAAGTAAGCGGCATAGTTGGTGAAAAAATCATCCATAAAGACTTAAATGGTTAAGATGATAGTGAGTCGAACATTAATTGATTAATGTGAATAGTATGGCAAAGAAAGGAGATCTCAGAGCTTGTAAGAACTAAAATTGCATCACACTGCTATCAATACTAGGAACGTTTCCAACAGTGCTATTGAACCGGGTAGAAGGTTCATAAACGTCAAGCTTCTAGATCAACAGGCTGGATTCCATAAGGATCGGTCGTGCACAGACCAAATCGCGACACTACGGATCATCGTCGAGCGATTAATTGAATGGGACTCGTCACTACACATCAATGTCCTTGAGTATGAGAAGGCGTTTGACAGCGTGGTAACGTCTTCGACACCATGGTGTGCCTGAGAAGATCGTCATCATTATCCGGAACTCATACGACGGACCACAGTGCAAAGTCGTGCATGGAGAACAGCTGACAGATGCATTCCAAGTAAGGATCGGCGTCAAACAAGACTGCTTACTCTCCCCCAATCTTCTGGATTGTGAAGACCTTCACATCTCAGAGGAAGCACGGTATACATTGGACAGCTCGGAGTCAATTAGAAGATTTGAACTTCGCAGATGACCTGGCCCTTCTATCCTATACACACAAACAAATGCAGACGAAGATAGCTAGTGTAGCAGTAGTAGTGCTTAACATACACAAGGAGCAAAGCATGATCCCCAAATACAAAATGGAGGACACAAACCGAATAATTATAGATGGGGAAACTCTGGAAGAAAGGGATGCTCTCGCATACGCAGACGGCATCATCGATGAAGAAGAAAGATCTGATGCACACATAAAGGCTAAGATTGGCAAAGCAAGGGCTATAATTCTACATTTGAAGAATATATGGAACTCAAAATAAAGCAATATCAAAGTGAGGATCTCCAACACATACGTCAAGACCGTTTTACTGTACAAAGCTGGAACGTGCAGAACTACCACAACCGTCATCAAATATGTTCGAGTATTTATAACTAGTTTTCTACACAAGATACTCAATGTTGTTTTTTCATGCTACATGCGGTGATTATATTAATTAGTGGACCAAAATAGTATGGCACTAGTTCCCAATCGATTGGAGATTAAATGAATCGCTAAATGGTATTCTTTTCTTTTGTGATATTTGAATCCAAAATGTTTTGCAATCTGTTTGTGTTGACTAAATTTAAATGATTGGGTGGTGTTTCTAACTACAACACATTTTCGTCCATTGAATTTCGTTTTTGAGTTTATTGTTCTTTAGTTATGTAAGAATGTGTGAGCTAACAGTAGGTTTATTGGAACAGTCATATCTAATTTTTTTCATAATAATACAATTTATATATTCCTTAACCGAATTCTTGGTTTTATTCGACCTTGGATACTTGCTAAGTACACTTCTGAAATTTGAGTTTTGTTAATTTTTACCCGTAGCCTACATCTATGTAGTAATCACATTTACTTTCAGTGAGTTGCATCACCTCAACGGATATAACACAACCAATCATCAGAGAGATTCTGGTAAATCTAACAATGATCGTAATTTGCCTACTACCTCATATACTCAACACTCGGATCGTGGTGCATATTGTTCATCTAATCGTATACCCAGTGATCCAATATCGTCTATCCAACACCATTGGCCGATCATAGAAAGTTATGATTTAGCTCTTGCTTGTCAACTAGTTTTACTTTTTTTACCACCTGTAATGTTTTCCCGGTTAAAAATAATGGTTGATTTATTGCGTCGAGTTCTATCAAATCATGAACGCTTAGCTTCGTGGTTGGTAAACTATGGTTCACGTGAAAATATTGAAAATAAGTCTGAAAACATTTTACCATCCGATACTCTATCATCGTTGGAAATTACATTGCATGTGGTAGGTTTCCGCATATATGACGATATCTGTTTTTTTTTCTTTAAAGAACATGTTTCATCTATGCTGTAATAAGTTGTTTTTACTTATTAAATGTAAATTAACTCCAATAAAGTTTATGGTACATATAGAGCAAGTGTGTGTATTTGTTACTTCACAAGAGAACTGTACAAAATATTTCTGTTTAATTGGGTATGAAGTAATGGGTTGTTTAGGGTCCTGAGTAATAAAGAATCAAACATTGAAGAGTCTGGTTGATATGATTTAAAATCAACCTCAACCGACCTCAAATGCATGATGTAATTATTATTATTCTTTATGTGCTGTGTTTACTCTTACTTATATTTCATATCTTAATATCCTTTCACTACTTTCGTTTCTCTATTTCTGCACTGTTGCATTGTGACATCTTAAACCACTTCGTGTTGATGTAATGTGTTTGTCTGTCCTAATTACAACTGTGTATAACGATTTGTTTTAGTTTTATGTGAGGATTGTTTTTGTCCAAATGCAATGTTGTCTCATCATTTTCATGGCTTCAATCCATTCATAAGTTAAATTATTTCAGTCGGCTAAATTTATCAACTGCCTAACAAAAAACCATCACCACCACAACAACCGTTCATTTCTAATTAAATGATGTGCATCACTCAATGTGTTTTATTCATTTCAATTTTTTATAACCCACTAATCAAGCGTAAGTTCATGAGAATTATTGTATATCACAATTCATTTAAATTCTACTAATATTACCCGGTAACTCAAATGAAACTAAGTAGATCCTGCGGGTTCAGATTTTTACCCTACTGCCTAAAATGCTAGTTTCCCACTCATTAAGCCATCTCTCTATACTTAGTATTCTAGTCACTATTAGTGCAAAAAGGTATGTGTGAAATAAATCCCGAGAGTCAAATGTGCACCGTTTCTCTTGCAAAGCCCATTTATTAGTCATATAATGAGTACTTAGTATCTATCAACAAAATCATCTATCGGTGTACAGCATTTATAGGGATAAGGTAATTAAATAAAAAATACTGCAGTTGTTCATTTAACTTCTATCTGGAAAATTTTAATGTTTTTCATATTTTTAAGAAATTCTAATTTTTCCTCTTTTTGTAAAATAAGAACTTTTTCTTAACCTACCATTAATATTTCATGTAATAGTTTTGTTTTAATAGCTGAATCACACGTTCTTTTCTAACATAACCTAACCTCGTCAGTTCCTTTTTAATACAAATTACCATTTGTTTGATACATGTATTAGTAGAAGTAGTATGAAATCTTGACATGTGGGGTTGTATGTCCATAATTTTCTAAAAATACATTTGTGTTTGTTATGTTAGATGGACAATGTGAATAGATTTTTTCTTTACATATGAATCTGTTGTCATTAAAAAGTCATATGAGTATTCGTTTTTTCTGTTACGAAAGAAAACGTTTCTATTATAATTATTACATTTCATGTTTTCGGTGTAAATGCATTGAATTCTGAATCATGTTTTCATTAGCTTATTATTTAGTTATGACTAATGGTTCAGTAGTTATTTTATTCAGATGAGTTAGGTGTAAAATATGGTTCAAATCTGCGACCCAGTGGTCGAATGTCAAATCACCCTCTCTAGTGCACAGTAGTTAAAAGCGTGTCTTCTATTCTATCGACACTTTAAAATTCAGTAATAGAAATATGAGTTCGTCACCAAAAATATCTCGGTTTTTAAAATTTTTATGATATTTTATATTTCGAATATACGGTTTTATAGTTATGTAGAAATTTCAGTGTAATACAATTAAACATAAACAAATGACGAAACATAGTATAGACGTGTATTCATTGTCTGCATAATTAATGAAGAATCAAATTTAAATAAACTGTTACTAAACCAACAGTATCACTAACAGTAGGAAAAAAATAATGTTAATGAAGGCAAAATAAATGAGAAGTAGTAATATTAATATAAACTAGTAAAGCATACCATTTCGTATTAATTGGGATTTTACAGTGGCTAACTGTAGATATCGGGATATTCTTTTCGTCCCTTTTGGGATTCGTCAGTTGGGTGTACCTGCATTCCAATGCTGGTGTTTACACCATGACTCTAACCCAGTAGCTTTCGCTTCGAGCTACCGATGCGATAATCATCCACCCGATATTTTTAAGACTAGTAATCTAATGGCGCTTAATCAAAAGGTTTACATTTCAGTCTGTGGCTTGATATTCTTGTTTGATGTGATCATTCCCTTTTTCATTTCCCATCGAAGCACTCACTGTGCGTGCATGCCATATAAAATAAAATTTCGTCATTTCTTTGTATAAATTTATTCTGAGATATTTACTCTTCAATATGTTTTTCCCCAAAGATTGTAAAACACTTCGGCCCACTACTTTTACGTGTATCAAGTGATTCCGCTGTCAACAAAACAACTTCACGGATTCGTTGGAGAGAATGTCTTCTTTGTTTGTTACTTTGTGACCCGGAAAACTTCCTCTTAACATCACCCAATAGTTTACAGTCTTGTTTACGATCTGTAAATAATGATAATAATACGACAAGAGATAATATTAAACCAGAACAAGAAAATATTCTACACATTGAAGAGGTTAGTATTATGTTCATTGTCAAGATTTTTTGTAGTAAAATATTCATGACTGAATCATATTAAAAATGATAATAATTTTTCACGATTATTAATCCTCTCAATTATAATTTGTCGAATTATTGTTGCTACTCGCAATCAAGTGTTTTAGTAGTATAAACCTAGTCATTCATATATTTTAGACTCCCATCAATTCTATTAATTGTAGCGAGTAACTAGCTTTCTTATTTGTTCATTTTTGATCGATTTAGCTTATTGGATTAGATGGTATCAAGTCACAGGGTTCAAGAAAGTCCGGATTTGCTCGCTCATCATCGTCATCATCTTTACCAGCATTTATTCCACCAATCAGATCAGCATCCAGTATTAGTTTAGATGGTAGATTGTCAAAATTAATTGGATCACGAGATAATCTAATCAAATTTGCATCAACTCCTACAAAAAATGGTAGAAGTAGCAGTTTACAAAACTCTCCACGTTCTACCGATACTTTTAGTTGTCGTCGTATATTTGATGAAAGTAATTTAGGTATTGGAAATCTAAGTTTAAAATCACATTCTACACTTTTTATCAGTGAAGAGTCTTCCGGTCGGTTTGGCCGTTCCGGGAATTGGAGTGTAGAAAATTCTCTGATTGGTTTAAATTCAAGTATATTTTTTCAGGTATGTCCATGTTACTGGTCTTTTGGTATTAGGTCATTATTAGTTACGTTTATTATCTACATGGGAGTTTTCTGGGGTTTCGGCAACACCTTGATGGGTTTACATTCATCGTCTGACCCTATGGAAATCAGTTTCTGAAGTTGTCCGTCAGCTCTCCTTATTCACTTGTCATGAAAATCGGTAAAATGTTTTATAAATCCCATCTAGACACCGAGAAATATTAAAACTGGTGTACTATAACACAAATAAAAGAAATAATTTACCTGGAGACAGTAGTAGTAGAAAACCCCAAGCAATCTAGAACCACTGGACGTATAATGCAGAAAACCGTTTAGTGTTGTCTTGCGTCGCAGTTTTGTCCTGAAACGAAAAAAAAACATTTTTAAGTCAAATACTGACTGATTTTTACGATAACCCATAATCTGAATGTGGTTCGAAACTTTTTATTATCATGAAAATAAACGAGATAAGCTCCCAAAATAGTAAGAACCCAATAGTAAAATTACTGATTAATCCAATGTTATTGTCGTTCACTTTAACATTCGATTAGATAGAAGAATGCTGTGTGATTTTGGAAGATTATAGTAATATGTCATTAATTTTTATACAAAAATTAAATATCGAAAGGAAGTTATATGGCGATCGGTTATTAATTATTTCATAATAAAATACTATTGTTATATCTTTGCGCAGTCTTGACATTTGTTCAGTATTAAAATCATTTAAATGTAATCAACAATCACCGCAAAGGAGATCTGTATATAAAATAAATATTTTAGCATAAAATATATTCGCAGTTGCAGTATAGGTTTTGTCTTCTTAATGTTTGGGGATTGGATCAAGGGGTTTTGGCGCATAGTGTGGAAGAGTAATTGTAGGTGTTCATCCAGTTCCGATCACATTTCGTTCAATAATACGTTAGGTTTTGGGTACCAAAGTGCATAGCCTGGATTTTGTTTAAACAACCTAACAATCGTTGGTATCTCGCGCTGGCTAGTATCAGCTGGGGCAAACCATTGGTTCGTTTTGATTTTCTCCAACCAGTTTATATTTTTAAAGGTTCATGAAGCGTTTTTCATTTTCATACCTCACCATTCATGATTTTTTAAAGTAAGAATTGTAATACTATTAATTAAATGTTCCATAATTTATCGTGCTCACTTTTCTGCAATTTTTTATAGTCTGATCTAGATCCCAAACGATTAGCTGCATTAGGTAATACAGCTCATTTGATCAAGCTTTTAAATCAGATTCTCAATGACCGTGACATGAATCCACGTAGAAAAATGAAATGTCTTCAAGATGTAAGTTCAAATTAATTTTGTTTACGAAGTACTGTTGTTTCCTACCATTTCGTTTTCGTATAAAAAATATATATTTTGAGGTGATGTAATACGAACGATAATTTTTCTCAGTGTATTCAACAGTCAAGAATTACGTTTGTCATTCACTCATAATTATCTTACTGTTAAGAATTTAAAAGAATTAATCCGGAAAGTTTTTTCATTTATACATTTGTTATTTAATTTTCGTTACTTGTTTACATCTTTCAATGAACAGTTTCGCAAATCTCATCCAGATGTGTATTGGTTACGCTTTGGTACTGAAGAAAAAGCATCCAACTATTTATCCCGTTTACAACGTCGTATCGATTCACAAACTCAACCTAGTGTTTTTGAGCGGATTACAAATGCACTACGTCGTCGACTTCAGAGTCCCGTCAAGCAACAGGATTAGCATCAGGACAGCTCTTGTACTTTGTATTTCGATTGTTTCATCTAAACATGTGAAAAATTTATTCGACTGCTACTTTTCTTGTAAATGGTCGTATATATCGTCTAATATTTTTTAATCAGATTATAGATCACTATTTTTCTAAATGTTTGACTTTATGTTAGATGAGGTATAATATGTAGTAATTTACTATTGATATATTCATTAAAAGCGTCAGTTTTAATTAGATCTTAGTAACAGTGTTTCCCAACTTCATATTCGGACGATTTCAACTTACAAATTAAGCATATAACCTGAGATATTTCTCGAAGAATTTATCACTATGTATATAAAGCGTGAATTGTTATAACTTTGGACTTCATAATTATCACTTAAGTCATTTTGCACAGCAATCAGTACTCATATAGCTATAGAGATACACGAACTTCCTGACTATTTCAGAAACTTATCGGGAAGGATGAGTACAAACAGGTTGCTTCTAATATTGGGGAACTTTACGTTTTAATATTGGTATGGCATTTCTGCACCTATCGGTTGTGATTGAATAAGTGATGTGACAACGTTCAGCAAAATGATAATTTGCCCACTTTTTCCGCCCTAATTACAAATGTTCGTTGGGATGTATTCAATCCCAAGAAACTTGATAGTTTTCGCCAATGTGTATTTTATTATTATAGTCTACATGTTGAACAATCAACCATTTATATGAAATGTAAGATCTGGTACATATATGGATTGGTTAAAGTTGCTACACCCCATAAGGGCAGCGAGATAAAATTGTCAGGGAAAATCCCGCCAGTAGTAGGGTTAACAGTGAGATAAAAGATTAGGCATTAAAGATACGATTCCAGGATATATGAATTAGTGAAGTAAAAAAGTTTATGGAGAATATAGAATCTTAGGATCTAAGAGAAGACAAAGAATGAATGCACCTGCGCCATCGCGAATGATTCTAAGCCGTGCCACTCAAAATCTCTAACCATTGGTTACGAAAAGCACACACCACCCGGCAGTTTGCATTTATTTACAATAGTTAACCCCAACAGTCAGTGTCTTCCGCTGGGCCTTGGTTTGATCACTCTTAGCTTTTTTTAAACGTACTACATCAGTCATCCTCGTGCATGAAGGTAGACGGTCGATAGGCTGCTTTAGTATGTCCCGACCACCTCAGTTGACGAATATTTGCAGCTTAGTTTTTTTTTAATCTTATGTCCGGTGTGTAACCTTAACATCGTTCACTCGAAGGTCCCAACAGTCTATAGGAGTGTTTCGAAGGCTTCTATGATCAAATAGTAGTAACCTACAAATATCCTCTATTTTTAAGGGTCACATTCCACAGCCATAAATTAAAACAGCGAATTGTTGAACAGTATACTCGTTGTGGTTGCTAAACGAACATCTTGCTTAAGCTACAAGTGACGTTACCCAGCCGAGACTTCTGACTACATAGATTTCACCAAGCCACTAAAGCTGATGAGACTACCAAGGTTAATTAAAGTGATCAACACGCTAGATAAACACAACGCCTATCATTAAGTTTAGACATTGAAGTAGATCAATCATGAAACTTTTTGTATTTAGGAGAGACACATTGCAAACATGGTTGACCAATCGCAGAACTGCATTTTGTCAGCGTCTTCAGCAAATGGGATTATGTATTCTAAATCTGGTACACCAATCTTTGAGAAGTTAAATGAGGAAGTATGTATGTGATAAGGTTGAATAAAATTCGGGGGAGTGATCAAGGCTAACACACTGCTTGATAACAGTTTACTTAGACTCGAAAAATGGTGTTTGAATGAAGAGCCCGTACATGGTTGGGTTTATCTTGGTATGCTTCTCAGTGCAGACACTTCAACAAAACCTCACGATCAGCGGAGTTGGATATTATTGAGGTGAAGGAATAAAATTATAGATGAGCGTCGGTACGTGTGTCTATTCCTTGAAACCTGAGGAAAAGTGAATATTTGTTCATCACTTCCAAGTTCAGGTTTAAAACTACCCTGGTTTCCCTGTGTCTGTTCTTTAAGAACTTTAGTTGAATGATGGATGATTATAGAGGCTAGTGTGTTAAACGCTACGTACCTCTTCTGTTACAAGAGGGTCTCTATCCTTTCCTACGATCTGGAACGTTCAGCCAGATAGGATTATGTTCAGTTTTCAAACTCCAGCTATCTCACTGTTATGATTTGGTCCATCGTTGGAGATCACCTCGTCAGACGATGTTTCTCCTTCAACTTAAAGTTAGTGGGTGTTCGGAAGAAACGGTTGTCTGAGCAATGCACTCTATGCATCATAATTGCCACACTTACTTACTTAAGCCTGTTACTCCCAATGGAGCATAGGTTGCTGACCAGCATTCTCCAACCCACTCTGTCCTGGGCCTTCTTTTCTAGTTCCATCCAATTCTTGTTCATTTTTCTCATGTCTATTACCATTTCCCGGCGTAATGTGTTCTTTGGTCTTCCTCTTTTCCGTTGACCTTCAGGATTCCATGTGAGGGCTTGTCTTGTAACGCAGTTCGGTGCTTTCCTCAATGTGTGTCCTATCCACTTCCAGCGCTTCTTCCTCCACTGGGATCTGGTTTGTTCTCTCCCACAGTACGTTGTTGCTAATAGTGTCCGGCCAATGGATCTGAAGTATTTTGCGTAGACAATTGTTAATAAACACCTGTATTTTCTGGATGATGGCTTTTGTAGTTCTCCAGGTTTCTGCCCCATACAGTAGAACTGTCTTGACATTTGTATTGAAAATCCCGACCTTGATAGTGGTTGACAGTTGCTTTGAGCTCCAGATGTTCTTCAGTTGGAAATATACTGCTCATGCTTTGCCGATCCGCGCCTTCACATCTGCATCAGACCCACCATGTCCATCAATGATGATGCCCAAATATGTAAAGGCTTTTACATCTTCCAAATCTTCTCTGTCGATTGTGATTGGATTGGTTCATGCTGTGTTGTATCGGATAATCTTGCTTTTCCCTTTGTGTATATTGAGACCTGCTACTGCTGAGGCTGATGCTAAACTGGTAGACTTCTTCTGCAGTTGTTGTTGCGTTTGGGATAGAAGGGCCAGATCATCTGCGAAGCCTAGATCGTCCAACTGCATCCTAGATGTCCATTGTATCCCGTGCTTCCCTTCAGATGTTGACGTCTTCATGATCCAGTCGATCACCAGGAGAAAGAGAAAGGGTGAGAGTAAGCAACCTTGCCTAACACCGGTCTTCACTTCGAACGACTTTGTCAACTGTCCTCCATGCACAATTTTGCAGTGTAATCCATCATATGAGTTCTGTATGATATTGACTATCTTCTGAGGCACGCCGTAGTGTCGAAGAAGTTTCCATAGTGTTGTTCTGTCCACGCCGTCAAATGTTTTCTCGTAGTCAATGAAGTTGATGTAGAGTGATGAATTCCATTCAATTGATTGTTCCACAATGATCCGTAGAGTTGCGATTTGGTCTGTACACGATCTATCCATACGGAATCCTGCCTGTTGGTCACGAAGTTGGGCGTCTACGCAGTCCTTCATCCTGTTTAACAATACCCTGTTGAAGACTTTTCCCGGTATTGAGGGAAGAGTGATGTCCCTATAGTTATCACACTTGCTGAGATCCCCTTTCGGTATTTTCATCAGGAGCCTTCTTTCCAGTCTGTTGGTACTTGTTCCTCATCCCAAATCTTATTGAAGAGAATGTGGAGTATCCTTGCAGTTGCCTCTACGTCTGCTTTCAGTGCCTCTGCTGGAATGTTGTCCGGTCCTGCTGCTTTGCCACTCCTGATTTGTCTGATGGCCATGCTGATTTCTTCAATTGTTGGTGGGCCAACATTGATTGGGAGGTCCCTGGGTGCTGCTTCGATGTTGGGTGGATTCAGTGGGGCTGGTCGATTCAAGAGTTCTTTGAAGTGTTCTATCCACCTGTTTTGTTGCTCTTCAATGTGAGTGATTACCTTGCCTTCCTTGCTTTTCACTGGTCGTTCTGGTTTGCGGCGATTTCCAGAGAGTTTCTTTGTCGTGTCATACAATTGTCTCATGTTTCCTTCTCTTGCATCCTTTTTCGCCGTCGTTGCTAAATCTTCCACATATTTACGTTTGTCGGTTCTGATGCTCCTCTTCACTTGTTTGTTTATTTCCGTGTATTCAGCTTGTGCCTTGGCTTTTTCTGCTCTTGTTTGGCTGGTATTGATCGCTGCCTTCTTGTTCCTCCTTTCTTGAATCTTATCCAGTGTATCAACAGTGATCCATTCCTTGTGGTGGTGCTTCTCGTGACCCAGGACCTCATGGCATGTTGAAGTGATTGCCTCTTTGATCCCCTTCCAGTTGCTCTCCACAGTAGTTCCTTCTCCATTGAGTAGATCATGAAAGGCCTGGAACCTATTGCTGAGGACTATCTTGAATTTGTTGAGTTTGTTAGTATCCTGAAGAAAGGCCGTATTGAACTTTTGTGATATTGTCTGCCCAGTTGTCCAGTGCTTCTTGAGTTTCAATTTCATCTTGGCCACCAGCAAGTGATGATCTGATGCTATATCAGCTCCTCTCTTGGTTCTCACGTCCTCTATAGTCCTCCTGAACTTATTGTTGATGCAGATATGGTAGATTTGGTTTTGTGTAGAGTGATCCGGTGAAGTCCATGTGGTTTTGTGTATGCGTTTATGTGGGAATATGATTCCGCCTATAACCAGTTTATTGAAGGCACATAGGTTTGTAAATCTCTCACCATTTTCGTTCCTTTCTCCCAGTCCGTGTCGTCCCATGATGTCTTCATATCCAGTGTTGTCCGTTCCAACCTTGGCATTGAAATCTCCCATCAGAATAGTCAGGTCCTTTGTTGGGCACTTCTCGATGATTGACTGCAGCCTATCGTAGAATTGATCTTTAGCGTCTTCATTGCAGTCGTTGGTAGGCGCATAGCATTGGATGATGTTCATTGAAATGCCCTCTTTCTTTGTTTTAAACGAGGCTTTGATGATCCTTGGTCCATGAGATTCCCATCCTATAAGTGCATTTTGCGCTTGTTTAGACAGCATCAATTGCAACTCCTTGTGTATGTGGAGCATTTTCTTCTTCATGGCCGGAGTATAACAGGAGCTCCTCTGAAGCTAGTCGTTGTTGTCCAACTTGCGTCCAATTTGTTTCACTGATCCCAAGTAACTCTAGGTTGTATCTTCTCATTTCTGCAGCAATCTGGAAGGCTCTCCTGGTGTCCCACATTGTACGAACATTCCATGTACCTAAATAAATGGTCGCTCTGGTTGTCAGAAGGGGCATCGGCCTCGTAACTTGAGAAGGAATTCGGCTTTCATCATGAGGCGTCATAGTTCTTCTAAAAGAAGACTTTCTGACTCCCAAGGCAAAGTTCAGACGGTTTGAATAATTTTTTCTGGTTAGCGTTGTTTTAGTAAGTTTTCTACGGGATGGGGACCCTAACCCCATGCTCAACCCTCCTCCTTTATCCGGGCTTGGGACCGGCAGTAGCCCCCGGAGGGACTCCAGACGGTGTTCAAAATATGTTTGGTGAATAATTAAGACAATCGTACAAGGTCAAGGAAAGTTAATGTGGTGGTGGGCGTTTCACTTTATCATTGGTGATCTTGTTTACCTATCGCATTCTACATGCAGTCAGTGAGAACGTATACAGAGACTACCAGGAAACGACGAGATGGATATTTGTCTTTGTGCGTCCTTAGTGTTCCGGAGAGTGCACAGGTGACCGTCCAAAGGACTCGGTATAAGAGATCGTATTTTAGTGTTCCTACTCCAGTTCGGTCATGAGTAGTGGGAGAAGTGTCCAGATACACGAGGAGTAGATCACACAAGTTCTTCATATAGATGAAGTGCGGTCAAACGGGTGATCACACTGTGATCCTATCTGAACAGTTTCGGAGATGTAATGTACGTAAATGACTGGAGAGGCTTGTTGTCTTATTCAATATAAAGTACGAACATTGATAGCTCCAGGATGTAGTTCAGAACACAATTCGAGACCATTTCGTAAAATCGAATTGTCAGCACTGATGATTAAGTCATATTAATAAGTGATGAATGAATTTAATTGTGAACAAAAGGGTCTTGAGAACTGTTGGTATGTGGACAGTTGTCTCTCCTCGGTTGACTGCACTGTGATGAGGGATTTCCTGAGTTATCTGTAAAGAAAATCGGAATAATAGTAGTGTTTGCGAATCGGGAACATGATCCAATGCCTAAGGGAAAACTGCTCGAGGTTGGTTGCATACGGTTTTTAGTGATACTTTTAGATGTGCTAAATCCGTACGCACAAGCCTTAGCACGGGCGACGAAAATCCGCAACATCAAGTGTGCTATTTTTAGTGCTGGGCTTTTGTATTTTCCTTCTGTTTTAAGGCAGTAGTTTGTTGTACAACCTCACTCTCAACCAACGAGCGTCATTTGTGGCGTAGGCGAGATATCCGTCTACCAACCAAAGACCGAGTTTACTGTGCGGCAGCTCTCTCCGTTCAACTTCATGGACGTGGGACATGGCCATTAGGAATAGGGATGGGTGGTCGATTGATGAGGTAATAAATATTCACCAACTGATGTGGTTGGGACGTGTATTACGTATGATAGTAATGCAGAAGTTCGGCAATGTGAGTTAGGACACAGCGAAGATAATTCGGTTGGAGTCACCATCTTGAAACATCGACTTTGGTGGCTTGGACATTTCTTACTAATGTTGTCTCAACGAATTTTGCATTGCGCATCATTTGCCGACTCTGGGACTGGTTAGAAAAAGCGGTGAGGTCAGTGCATGACATGGTGTCGTGCTATAAAAGAAAGCTGTACAAGACAGGCTTCTGTCAGTCATTGTCGACTCCCTGGTTGTGGTCCTAGCGATAGTGCAACACAATGGCTTGCGACATTGTCAGAAGTGGTTCAGAATAGAAGCCTGTAGTGATCCTGCTGCAACTTTCTTTTACTTCATGAAAATGAGAATAACTTCTTTGATTGAAAGAGTTCTTTTTGATTGTACTTTTTCTAACTGAACTGCTCTTCCCATCATTATTATTTCAGTTTTATACATTAATTTCTGTTCTTCTTTTTTACTGTATTCGTTTCCCTTCCTCTATTTTTTCACAACCTTATTTTCATTGTGTCGCACATATATATTTGGTGCCTCCCTGCACCAATATTTATATTTTCAAATAATTAAATAAAACACTAGCTCTCTAATTTAAATTGTTTATTCCGATTGGATAAGTGTAGGAAGCAATATCTATATACTGCCAAAAACCGATACCCAATGCATTTAGCAATTATTCAAAATCGTGAAATCAACATAACCATTCACACTGAATATTTCGATTTGTATGTTGTTTCAAACGGAATCGGTATCGACCGTTCCTAATATTCGTTGATACGTATTATTACTTAATTGATGAGCAAAACCAGAAAAAAGTTTATCAGTGTTGAATAGTTTTTGCGTGACGGGGGCTTGAAAAACAATATATGGTCAATATTTTTCAGAAAAATGGTTTAATGTTTTATACATTTTAAGAACTATCTGAAGGACACACCAGTGTATATATATATATATATATATATATATATATATATATATATATATATATCATAATTATCGACATTTCATCATATTTGTATATGCAAACACCTCAGGCAGAGTGAGGGCATACAACCACCTTTCTCCATTGTTCCATTCGAGCAGTGTGGCTAGGCAGGGTTGCTCAATCTCACCATTCCTCTTCAACTTCGCCATCGATGACATTCTGGAAACAGCTCTGATGGATGTAAGCAATGGAGATGTGGATCTGTTGTCTGGAGAAAGACTTCTCGACCTTGAGTATGCGGATGATATTGTCTTCCTGTGTGATGATATCCATCCCATACAATCCGCACTCAATCAGTGTCCGTAGGTATCGTATGTGCTTTGTATCTTCGAAGTGCAAAGTACTCCTACAAGACTGGCTGGACCCTGATCCTACACTTACCCTGGATTGTGAGGAGATAGAAGTAATCAAGAAGTTCGTGCATCTAGGTAGCTGCATAAGTTCTGGTGGTGGAGTGAGTGATGAGATCAATGCACGTATAGTGAATGCCAGAGCGGCTTAGGCCAATGTGGGCCATCTTTGGCGCCTTCGTGATGTTAGTCTGGCTGTAAAAGTTCGGATCTACAACGCGCCGGTGAGAGCAGTTTCGCTCTATGCTTGTGAAACCTGGCCTCTCCGAGTTGAGGATGTTAGACGACTCTGTGTTTGATCATTGTTGTCTCCGAAGGATTGCTGACATTCAGTGGCAACATCATGTTAGTGATGCAGAGGTTCGGCATCGTGTGTTCGGGCAATTAATGTCACCATCTTGAAACACTGACTTCGGTGGCTTGGACATGTCCTACGAATGTTGCCCCAGAGAATTCCACGTCGTGCATTATTTGCCGACGCTGGGACTGGTTGGAAAAAGCGGAGTGGTCGTCAGTGTATGACATGGTGTAGTGGTATGAAAGAAAGCTACATAGGACTGGTTTCTGTTGGTCCTTCTCGACACCCTGGCTGAGGTCCAACGGATAATGGAACACAGTGGCTAGAGACGTTATCAGATATGGCTCAGAATAGAAGCCAGTGGCGATCCTGCTGTAACCTTCTTTTACTTTCTTCATAAAAAAGTGGTTGCTTCTTCCTTAACTGAAAGATCTCTTCTGATTGTACGTTTCTGTTTCCCTCATTATTATTACACTACCTTACACTAATCTGTTCGTTATTGTTTTTTTACGCTACTTACCTTTCCTTTTTTCCTTCTTCTCTTCAAATTCTCATTGTTTTGTGTGGCGGATATATATTTGATGCCCTCTTGTACCAACAATTATGTGTTCAAATAAATAAATATATATATCAAGTTGCAACTTTATTCATAGAATTTGGTCGGAACCAACGGACTAGACAAACATGATACTGAGTACTATTCAGTGACTAGTCCATTTATAAATGTCTGTCTCACTGATTATTCGCATCTCGAATAGCTCAGTGTTAACATCTTAGACAGTGAAGCTGCGCGGCGCTGGTTCGAATCCGACATGGAGCATCATTCCCCTCAGAATTGCAGATACGCCTTGCTGAATAGTGGCGACTAGCCTGAAACGTGGGTTTAGGGTTTTTTGCCGAATGTCTCCAACCACTTAGCATCTGAATATAGTGATTCTGTATTTTGTAGTGTAGTAAGCGAATTCACCTTGTGATTGTTATACTCCCTGGGATTCCAATAACTAATACTCTATTCACATTAAGATGATTAAGTCCAACATTTGAAAGTGATAAGATTATTAAAGTACTTTTTAAAAAATGTACATTGAATTCAGCAAGTTCTACAGAGAAATTTCAATTATTTTGTATACAAAAAAGTATATGTCAGTGATTAAATCGAACATTTACTTCTTTTTATCTGGTTCTGTGTAGCCTTTAATAAATCGCTTTGGTATTGAATACGATTCTGTAATGAAAAAAGGAAATTAAATTTAAAGTAGATCATAATTTTACTGTTAGTATTTAGTTCTGAAATTACAATTTAAAAATTGCGCTTCGTTAATCGGTTGCTTAACATTAATTCAATGTGATGATTTTGGTCATTGAATTCCATCAAATGGACAAGTATTGAAAGCCAGGGAAGCATAGCACAATACTATTTCACCGTAGTTTTTATTTAATTTGCTGAATGGTTAATCAACTGATTCCATCATGTCGGTCAACATTTTGTACATAAAATACGAAAATAGGTTAGAAATTTAAAATAATTTTAAGAATTCATATATAAGTAGCAGCTAGTATGTATTTCATTGTTATCAAAAAGCTATTATTCACAGTAACATTCCACTTCGAAATAATTTCAGGTTGTGAGACGATCTCTCTATTAGTAGAAAACATGTATCGATACTCAATAATTGGTTCTTTCAGGCATATAATTAACAATGTTTGAGTTGGGTACATATTTTTAGGTAGTGAGTTTTGCTCTTTGTGTTGTTGTGAAATATGCAAACTTGGATAGACATATTTTTGCATGACGTTTCATGTACGACATATTTGTCTGCATATTAGGTTTATTTAGGATATTGTATAAGACAAATATTCAACTTTATTTAATTATAAGTCTTTTATTACTGAATATGAAATTAGTTCAAATATTTTGAGATGTATGATCAATCACTTAATACAATTTAAGCTAGAGTAAGAGTAGGATGGAAGAAATTTAAGCGGGTCAAGCTAAGAAGTCGGATCTGTTCATAAAGTTATCGACTGTCAAACTGAGTTATGTTAGTAAGTCCAGTCTACTTGATTGCGGTCTTTGTAATTATCGTAATAACAAAATAGAATGTTACATAAATCCTGAGAATATTTAAATATAATATGACAGTCAACAACTACTCATTCATCTAATAAAGTGAAATAAAGATCGAGGAACATTAACACCAATTACTCAACTTATTATCCAATGAGTTGTGCAATTACGTATGAAATATATATATATATAAACAGACAACAGCTATTATTTGCTCTTAGATTTTATTCATCATACCTGTAAGTAATTTCGAGATGGCTACAAGGTGAACACCTTGGGCTTGAATGACAGTTTTACCCGGGTATTGTTGATCATCTGTTTTCCCGGCTGAACAGGCTAAATGTACTTTCAGTTGTTTAGAAAATGAATCTGGATTAATGTGAAAATCTTCCAATTCCGCTATTCGAGTCTAAATATATGATGAACCCATAAATAAACAGATAATCAACGCATAGATAAGTTTAATAAACATGATAATTAAAGAAATTACTTGTCATCATTAATAACAGTAGTCTTCAATCACTATTTTTTCCTTCAGTAGGATAGAATAAGTTGTTTACAAAATTACTTCTAATAATGACTAATGAATTTTAAAGATTCCCATTGTGAAAATTAGAACACATATAAGCGAACAATTGTTTTCAATTAGATCGTCATCACGCTTTACTCTAATATGCATGAATATTTATACGAAAATGTAAACCAATCAAGGCAATATGGGTCAATAATCACAGTGGAATAGAATAAGTCTCTCCACATAATAGGTAAAAGTACAAGCTTATAGTAGGAAGACAGGTGAACTGATAATAGTAAGAATAATAAAATACAATAACAAAACTCTTATCAATAGTTAAACGTTGGAAATGGAAGGTCAAACAAACATGGGTAAATAGACTAGGAATAGTAATCATAAAACATTAAAATCACTACGTAATAAGATGTGTGTAAATAATTAGATAGTGAAGAATACAAAGAGGCGGAAAATTACAAACACGTAATGGATGTGGAAATGAATTGTCAATACATTGACACTGAATTTAACAATTCATTTTCATCAGTGTTGTTGTTAGGAATATGTGCGCGGTTGTTACTTTTAGATTGTCCAAATAGTGGAACGATAGTTTCCTGGGTGTGATAAGCAGACTGGATTAGTAAAGTGGTCTTGATGATCACAGGGCCCAAGGAACAGGTGTTTGAGGTTGATCATGCACAAATTTGAGTAGTTTTGGATCTATCAGCTCCAATTTTTTCATACCTCATCGACAACAGCGCAAATCCCTAGGGAAAACTGAAATGTGGTAATTTTAGGGTCTATTTTTGTTAAAATCTCCTTTCATTGTGAGGTTTAAAAGTGAAACACTTTACTACACTCGAATTCTAGCACATTTGGCAGTATGACTTTGTAGTTTGATCTTAGTTTTCCTACGTTAATCTTATTACATTCCAACGGACCTACATGTAATGACAGAACTGAAAGGAATGCATTCCAGAAAATAAAACTCAGTAGGATCACGATAGGCGAGCTCGACTACTGCATTAAGGTAGCAGCTGTGGTCGGGATAATGTGTTGTTATTTTATAACTTTTATTTAAAGATAAGTCACATGTATTATAAGAAAGGTTTGAGAATATAATTTAACAAAATCATCGTCTAAAAATAAAACTTTTTCCTACTAATCTGTTTCTCCCACAAATTCGCTATTTTGAAGCGATAACAGTTAAAGAACAATTGAAAAAATACCGGGAAACATATGACAACTTCTATCATCGTTGAATTATTTCATCAGTTCATATTCAAAGAATAGAACTATTACATGTAGTGGCTACTACGCATACTGAATTATAATTCAATAATCAACATTTACTATTTGACATTCGTTATTATCGTGTTCTTCGCTTGATGAAAATAAGACAGTAACTATAGATCAACTGAGGAGTAATAGATTATATTTCTTGTAGACAGAAAATCAGGAACTATAGGATAGCTAAATTGCATAACTGAATATTAGTTGAATTTGCGTAGATGACTATAGTTTTTTTGAGATGGATGGATAAGTATTTGATATAGTTAGATATAAATGAAGACTTCCGATGATAGGTTGCTATTTGACAATATATGTTAAGTTTCTAAACTCGTTCCTTTCTAAGCAACTTAAGTTATTGTATCCATTCAACTATCACTCTCCCAACCTATCTTGCGTTTATTGGTCTTAAACGTTTAATAAATATCAACCCGGAAATGAATGGTAGCTACATAAACATAAGCTTGCAAACAAATCAGTTGATTGTAGACTATTCCGTGTATAAATATAGTCGTGAGTTTATGAAGAGTTTTAGGTAAGATAATCAGATTAGCTGAAATTAGCGTTACGGACCAATCATTTACTTAAGCCTAAAGAACATTTAGAAATAATGCTTGGTTTATATGTTCTTACTGAGTTCAAAACTATATACCACTAGGTCTTTCATGTTTTTTTACTATATATTTTAAGATAATTTTATCCTGACCATTTTCCCTATATACAGAAATTTGTAGACCAAGGAATTACAATGTATGTAGACTTCCCTTTATTCAAGTAAATTATAGAACTCTTTTCGATAGTATAGTTACAAATAAATTGACATTAAACAATTCATCAAAATTAAGATATGCTTGGAGTTGTAGCTACGAAGTATTAAAACATGTGTTTTCTAGATTAAATCATTGCTTGATTCATGTTAGTATACTGGTTGACAATTTTGTATAAACAATTGAGAGATTTTTAACTTAAAGTTAGTTGACAGTCCTAACAACGATAAAGGTCATTCTTCAGATTGTTCTTCTGAGGTAGGACAGGTTAGAAGTTTTGGTAATCAGTTGTGCTCGAGACAAACGTTTGTGATACATAAAGAGAATGTTGATCACTATCACTGCTTTTAAAACAAACGCTAACTTACCAATTTCTTTCCAGCTTTCGTAACGGTATACAAATGTATATGAGGTGGCTCTTTTTTATTCCAGATGACAGGGGTGGACATGTTCGGATAAATTATGCGATAAGCAGTAGTTAAGTTCTTTAAAGCTTGAGAAATAAGATCACCAAAACGAATGTGAAAAATTGGATTTGTTATGGTACTTTCAGGGGATTCAATAAAAGTTTTCGGCTCACATATGTTCGTTAATAATTTGTCTAAATGAACTAAACTATAAGGAAAATAAATAATCTTCAAGTTGTGTACAGGTAAGTCAATTTAAAGTTAGTGATAATAAAAACAATTTAAAAGAGAAAATGACGGATGTACCGTTTTTGGAATCATGCACGATCAAATATTCATTATTTATATACCTGTACTGACAATCGATTTCATGATCAAAGGCCCGAGTGTGGACATTCATCTTAGTAACTAAATATTGTTTCTATAGTTATTTTCAGTTGAAGAGGAAATTTCCTTCATTCAGAGTTGGCAGTAAAAATAATGGTTAAAATGTCATTGAAGTGAGGTTAAAGACTAAATGGACAGTCAGATGCAACTTCTGTCATAGTAGCATTTATATCCTGAGTCAGAATACATTTATTTTTGCATAAATCACAACTGATATATTCGTAAAATAAGGTAAAACGATAAGAAATAAAACAGTATACAAATATATTTTACCAGTCTACAATGGTTGAACATTGTAGAAATGTTCTATTTGGAAATATCCAACTTTATGATAAGATAACCAGGGAGGTGAATGCTATGATAATTGGCATAATCATTAAGTAATGAAATCGACTGAGAAATCAATAAAATTATTTTGCTTATGAACTAGTTCAAAAGAGTTAATAATAAAGAAAAACATATTTATTCAGCAAATAAGCACTAAAACATATTCTGCATGTTTACCTCGGATCTGTAGTCAATTGAAGCTTATTGTTTCGAACATAGTTATCAATAGTCCGTCTGGCTTCTGATTGGCTAATACATTCACCTGATCTAGGGAACAGAAAAAATGATTGATAAGTTTAGGGAGACAGATCACTACTAGGGCGGCCTGCTTGAGCATCTGGGCTACCTGTTCCTGCCATCTAGATATTTCAACAAGTTATCTATTGTTGTTTGTTTTAATATATCATTATGTTTATTAATCGCATAACCTATTCTTCTGCGTTTCTGAAAAGTGTACAACCTTTCGTTGTCAAAGTTACAGAAAACTCAATAAGAGACAATATGGTTGCTGGCAATATACAACGAAAAGAATGTACATTATTCAGTTGTTCATTCACTGAAGTGCTAACATCTAACTGGCGATTACTCAATATTTATCGCCAGGACCGACCAAGAAGAAAGAAACGGAAACTTGTTGAAATACTTTGTGCTGAGAATTCTATATTGTACCAAAATTATAATATTGAATAAAGCTAATAATAATAATAATAATAATAATAATAATAATAATAATAATAATAATAATAAACTGATTAATTTAGAAGGTACTTAGGATTATAACGTAAACCTATTTAATATTTAGTGACTTGTTTACACAGTAAGATTCCCACAATGAAATCCTTAATCGTTGAATATTAGTCACCGTTTAGGACTAAAGCAGCGTCCTGGTTAGTAGTATTTTTACCGTAAAGCTTTTTAGTGATCTTTAGAAAAGACTTTTCACTGTGGAATCTGAGATTTATTGTATTAGCGGGCAATATCAACAAAACCAGATTTCAGCCAACTTTGATTTTCTTCATCTATTGGTTTTAGTTTACATAAGTGATTAAACAAACTTAAATCCAAATGAAACTGGTTCCATCTCAACTCGACGCAAGTTAAGACTTGATAAGTTGCACACAAACTTTCTATAATTTTCAGGAATACCTTCAAATAGTTGACATTTGACAAGGGTTTCTGACAAGGTCTTAAGTTTTCTGCACACTTTTTTCTGGACCTCTTGAAGGAAATTTTAAAACTTGATTCAAGATTCAATATTAAGTTCCTCAACGACTTTGTAAGAATAATTTTTCATGGCTTTAATCCGAGACTTCATTGTTTATCGATGGTTTTTCTGTGATGGAGGTAATTTACGTAAGCGTATTTTCGAAACATCAACGTGGATAGTAGCATGTTGAAAAAACTCTATTCTAGTTAATTTTCTGGATACTGTGCGTCGAATTGTCATCAGATGAATGAATGCCATAACTCGTCTAAACTGTTTTCAATTCTTATGTATATTCGGTAGATTTCTGGATGGAAAGGATAGAATATATGCAGCTAAAGGTTGTTATTTTATCACTGTAATTGGATTTATATGAATAATGTCGTACATTTTTAATGTCCTTATAAACGTGCTTAGTTATTTTGATTCATTTTGTATTGTTTGTTTGAATCTTCCCATTGATGTTTAGAACTGCAATTAGAATAAGTGTATCCTGTGTGAGGTGCCTCGATATTGCCTTCAGTCACAAGCATTATAAGCACAGATGGATAGTGGCTAGCCGTGTAATCTAGGACGCGCGTTTCCGTATTACTTGGGACTCATCAGATGGACGTGATTGCATCCCATAGTTGATGTTCAGCCCGGGACTCGAATACATATGCTAACAATAGACTGGTCAATTGCGGTCCTAAACATTAATGAGAAGATTCAAACAAATAATACGAAATGAAGTAAAAATACGCCCCATTGCACAAGCTGGTGTCTATAAGGACCCAGTAGCTAAGTGGATAATGCGATGGTGTTTGGGGCGAACGGTACTGGGTTCGAGTCCCGGAGTGAGCATCAACCCTAGAATGCAGGTACATCCAGTTGACGAGTCTCAAGTAGGAAGAAACGCACGTCCTGGATCCTACTATTAGCCACCATCCATTTTTGCTTAGTCATTTTGGTTTTTAGATTTCAAATGAAATAGGAATAAGTTCGCTGTGCACGCGTTCGTAGGTTTCGGTTGATACAACTGAAATTAACAATTACATTTTATGGTAGCCATCAATTATTTTCGTTAAGTAGCCTCCAAATGCCTTGGCACGACGGAGGGTGGGGAGAGTCTACACTCCTCGAAATGCTCTCACATGGCTACGCGTATATAGCTTCTGCCAGGGATGTCATACTCACTGCCTTCTCGTGGCAGGGGTGTTGTTTACGAAATTGAGAGGACGAAAAGCGAAACTCCGGCGCCTTAACCGGGTCGGTAGACACAGAGGGTCCACCTAGGGGATTTGAGAAACCCTGATTCCAAACCAATGGTGCATATGGGCTCTAGTATATCCTGATTGAACAAAGTGCGCATGAACCAATCGTTGGTCACCGGCTACCATGGGACTGCATCTCCTTACGTTGCTCCACTGCCTTGTGGATCAGACCTTTAGGTCGAAGGCTCCGGGTGTGCCCCCCCCCCAAGAAAACCACCTGCTTCGGTCTGGGCATCCAAGCAGTATCACAGCCCTCACACAAATCGAATGATATGTGTGGCGCATATGTATATTTTTGAGATAAGATGTTTTGAAAGCCCATGCCTCTCTGGCAGAACGTGTTTCTTAATACCATACTTTATCATTAAGAATAACTTACAACAAACAAAACTAACTTCCATTTAACTTAACTAAGCTTCCATTTCACGTCCCTATTTCTACACGTTTTTAGTTGTAACTAACTAGTGAGAATATTACTTGTGTAAACTTTAATCTCACAAAAATTAGAAGTGTAAATTTGGATTAGAAAAGTATCTATAATTATTCGATCTGCATTTGGATTCATCAGCAGCATAAAAATTTTCTAAGGCAAACATATCTTTCTTTAATCCTAACAATTCTAATTTAAAATGGTGAAATCCAAACTGATGTACAGGACTTTAAACCAAACCTTTTTGTGTGAAGACAAACAATGCTAGATGGTTATATCAATCAAAGTATACGAAATGATATATCGACCGGTGGCATAATTGGTTAAAAGTTCAATAACTGGAACCACTAACTCAAATCATGACAAATAACAGATTGCGAAAACGTGACATTGATTATGTAGGCACTTAGCATTACAGGGATGAAGTATTTTTACACAAATCTAGCTCGATTTATTTACTTCTAGGAATTTTAGTAAATACTATTGAACAATTACGTCATAATTTTCGGTTAAAGGCTGCGTACACAGAAAAATGAGTACATATTGATCTTGGTTGGGATTCAAACCATTATCTAACAACATGAAATTCTATATGCTTACTTTTATTTAATTAAGAACATGTTTTCGCAGTTACATTTCTAGAAAATGTATAGAATAGATAATAAGATATATATATATATATATATATATATATATATATATATATATATATATATATCCAGTGCTTCCAGGTTTTCAATGATTTCAATGAAATTCAACGAACTCCACAACCCGATACTGGAAATTATCATATGCTCACTAGCAACTAACTTCAAGAGGAAACTTCCGGGGTTCTAGTGAGAAGACGCGACCAGTAGAGCAAAGGGTGAGGCAGTTACCCACCACAGACAATGAAAGGTGGTCGCGCAATTTCGTGAATTGATTGAGGTTAGGCATTATTACTGTTGGTAACCAGCTCAGTGATTTAGATATCAAGTATCTGGACGCGAGACAGAGAGTTCTGGGTTCGACTTCCGCGTGCAGAATCATGGATGCGCACTGCCGAATCCCGTAACAAGACAAAAAGGCCGTCTAGTGTTTCCAGGTTCTCAATGATGGTCTAAATTATATCGGTTCATAATTTTAATGAAACAAAAGATAAACTTACTTATAACCAAACTGTGAAAATAAAGCTGTTACAGGTCCTTTAATTATTCGAATATCTTCAATTTGGGGTGGGCCCATATAGTCATCTGGCCAATGACACTCAACTTTAGGATTTGTTATTGAAGCAGGAACGGTTACTCCTCGTAATCTAGATGAGTGTAGAATATGAAATTTTAAAAAGATAATCAAAATTTTGTGGTGAATTACACAGCGTAAGCTAATCGATAACATGAAAGTCTCCACAGAATAAATTATCTTAAATCATAAATTAGTAACAGAAACACTTTAGTCCTCTGGGATATATACCTATATATATTCACTTCAGCTTATCATGTTCCCTTAGCACTGATTTTGGATTTTACGTACTACGTTCAGCCGAACGCAAGGAAAGAGCATTGGTTGGTTCAAGCTCTTGAAATCATAAAAAGACTAATTGTGGGACTAGAACTAGGTTTCAAATTTGTCAAATGCGAATAAACACATAAATAAAAAGGAAAAGAAATAAGTGATATCACTCAGTATATACATGGCAATCGTTCGTTAGCTAATGATATCAAGTAATATAAACTGAACTAAAGTATGTCGAAGTCTTGGTAGTTTAGGTGATCGCTTTTAAACTACTGAGTAGCAAGTCTGAACAGCGCCCAATCTACTGTTTGGACAGTAATACTGTTGTGTAAGCTAATTATATCGACAGACGTAAGTAGTATGTAACACCAATCGGAAGTGGAAAACCTGGCAACAGAAAGCTAAGAAGATTGAGTTGAAAATAATAGAAAGGAATCGTGGACTGGAAGAATCATACAGAACGTGAAGAACAAATGATGGAAATTTGCAAATGAAGTATTCGGTGTATGGTTCTCATATTTTGCCAAAATATTCTGTAACTTTGTGCTAAACAGTAAACCGATTGTCCCCGCTTGCGTCCTCGTTCACAAAAATACTAGTCATTACACAAAAGATGCGGCTCAGTACGGAACATATAAATTTGTACTGGATGAGTGAGCCACATAGTGTTCGGTTTAAAGGAAGTTAGCATGATACTGTTTCGAAGACATTAAATGAAAGTTTGGAGTCAGATACAGAAAATAAAGGTAATGGAACTCAGAATTCAAATACAATACTTGTGCACTAAATTTGAACTGACACATAATGTGTAAGGACCAGTGTTGTTTCCCCTAGGAACGGAATTTTAGTAATGCGAAATTAAAGGGTGAAAATCCAACTAAAAATCACACTAATATACACACTAATATACAATCCGTTATCAATGTTTAATATTTTCCTAAAAAGACGAATAGTTCAAAAGTAAAATAAAAATACAATGTTTTAATGTAATGTATTTACCGAGATACATGCTTATATATTTGGTTTTAGATCGCATGTTTTGCGCATGAGATAGTGATATCACCCAACAGCCTAAATCGAAGTAGGTGGAGCGGTGTTTGAACGTGCGAAGTTCTGATTGAAAGCCAAACGTAACAGATTATTCAGCATTTCATAACATAAATTTGAAGTGACCTTGCAAAAACTGACTCAATGATCCACTTTGTCAGAAAAAACATACCGACTGAAGAAACACTAAAACGTTTCCATACTTACTCAATATGATCTTTATTAATATGATTTAACATCAATACACCAGATTTCGGTTCAGTCACCTCGACGAAACCTTCATCTTGCATAGCTTTCAAAAATAGACCAACCTAGATTAACAAAACAGAAAATGAAGTAGATTCATCCTAATTAGAAGATGAATAATCGGTTATATTCTTACCCCTACTAGAAGTTTACAGGTAGATGAAATAGTGAGACATGCAATAATAAATGTTGTTGAACTGTGGATTAGTAAAAGAATGATAAATATAATAGTTAAAACGTTATACAACAGGACGTTTAAGATTTCGAAGAAGTGAATAGATGCCAATTACGAAACGATTTTAAGTCATGTATTGTATCTACCGAAGAAATTCTACAATTATACGATTTAACTAGGTCACTTGATTATCCTCCGGTTACAATCCCAAAGTGAATATTCTAGTTACATTAAAAATAACCTACTTATGAGAGTGCTTTTGAATGAATAAACATACAAGTAAAACACTCTCTATACTCTTTCTTTCATTATTTTTAACTTAGTCCTGAATATGCACCTGTAGATACTACTATTTTTATTTGACTTTCCAATTACTCAGAAATCTGTGTAACGAACTGAAGTACATATGCGACACAGTTCTGTTTAATGAAGATGGTATTAAATAAAGTCTTTTGAATATCCTGAGGGATAGTTAAAAGTATTTCTTTTGGTACTTTGAAATGCTAGACGTATTATGACAGGTTTTTATGGACGTCTAATCTGGCCAAGGAGGCGGAAGTGGTTGAGAGTATCAAGTAATTTAATTACTTAGAAAGTTAAATCAACTGTGATAACTGTGGACATCCGAACATAAATACAGGGAGCTCACTTCATTTTACTATTCTTATTCAGTATTTTTTTCCCATCTTTTGCACCATTTAAGTAGTTGCTAACAAGTAGTGGTAGATTTGGACGCTGATCAATGGAAACAATGTAGCAGTAATAACAGCAGTCGTATAAGATCAGCTCAAGACAAATGTAACTCCGGAAATAATACAGAATTTTCGAATATTTAATTTTCGGTTCATGAAAAAGAATTACTAATCATATCATCCTTATTAAAAGATATATTTATTAAAGATATTCCATAAATTTAACGTATGGTTACTATAACTTTAATGAATTGTAACACAATAATTCACCTTTTTAAATTTTGTTTTCCTGATATCTAGATCCACTGATGGAGATCTGTAATGATAATAAATGAATAGTAAACTATGAAAACCTACACCATAATTCTCATAACTAAAAAGGAATTTAACCAACTATGAGTAGAATAAGTTGTTTGATCAAAGGGAAGAAAATACTGAAAATTGTACTGTTTTGATTTATAATGTATATTTACTAAAATGTATTTTTATTACATGATGTTATCAGAAAGCTAACAAATGAGGAGTTTCCTAGTCTAACATTTATCGGTATTATGTATCAATGTTTAATTAGAAGATCAGAAACAAATTTTTTTAACTTTTGTGAAATACTAGACAATCAATCCCTTTTGATAGGCATTGTGAGTACTGATCATAGAAAGAACATCTATCAGTGTAGGACAGAGTGTTGAACACCGAGTGAGTCAATGTTATTGAGTTCTACTTCAAGAAGAGTAACGAATGTATGAGACAACTGAATGTTGAGAGAGGATGTAACATCAGTTCAATATTTTATTCCTTCTAATGCCAGTTCATTTGATATAGACTTGCAACTTACTTACTACCTTAAGGCCAAATACTTTGCTTTAAATGGTATTTGCAAATAAAATTTGAATCTATGTGTATAGCTCCGATTGGCATACATTATGCTCCACTTATATCGTTTCGAGCAATCGAGAAGTGCTACTGTTCATCATCAAAAAATATAGCTTACAGGTGAGCTGGGTCACATACAGGTAGAAAACTGTAATTCTAACCGAATCACACCGAAAATACCCTTTACATCTCCACAGCAAATAAACAATCAACATAATAGTAAGCGTCCATTACTTTTTGAAGAAAAGAAATCACCAATACATTATTATTTACAAAAGAGGAACTTACTTGTGCACCAAAACGTATTGAGAATAAAAAATATTCACTTGTATTGGAAGTTGATTTGCTTTGATCAACTTAAGACCTTTCAAAAAACACTCCCGTAGAATTTTATCAAGATCAAGTGATGGTTGTAACTCTGCAAAAAGAAAACAGGAATGCATAAAAATGTAGACATTAATGGAATCAGCTCATTTTCGCTGTGGTAAAAGATAGAAATTGAAGGCTAATAATCATCTGAATAGCCAGGCAACGATTAATAAAACCAAAAAAGTACAAATGTCACACTTAGATGGAGGATAAAAGCTACAAAGGGTAATTCGATGTATCGTTTCGTGAATTTGTAACTGCTAAGAAAGTTAATGCTGCACATGACTAATCAACAACAACCTCAACTTATGATGTCGAAGAAAGCAGGCATATAGGAAGACAAGTTCAGTCTGTTAAGCCAAAATATGTGGAGAATCGATTATTATTGACCCGTGGGCTTTCGCGTTGGGACAAGCAAGACAAGTGAAATCAATGGTCAGAGATCATATGCAATAATCCTTAAAATTAGTCAGAGTAAAGTGACTGTCTTTATTATGAATTATTTCAAATTTTGGTAGTATTAATTTTATAAATTAAATCACTGACTGATTACACATCTACTCAGTCAACTGAATGTTAAAATTTGAAAAATTCCCATATTGTAAATTTCGAACAATATATATAAGCGAACATTATTGTTTTCGATTAGATACTTATCAGGCTTTACTAATACACAGTAATATTTATATGCATATACGAAATTATTAAACCAATCAATGAACTTAAAAAATCAATGTACCAACTATGAGACAGTTAAATCCTTTCCTTTTTTACTGAGACGATTGTAAAGTTAGACAGCTTGTGTATTTTTTATTTATTTGAGAATATAAATATTGGTGCAGGGAGGCTCCAAATATATATGTGCGACACAATGAAAATAAGGTTGTGAAAAAATAGAGGAAGGGAAACGAATACAGTAAAAAAGAAGAAGAACAACAATGAACAGAAATTAATGTATAAAACTGAAATAATAATGATGGGAAGAGCAGTTCAGTTAGAAAAAGTTTTTGTCACGTTGCCTTAACGATGGCTGCTTCCCTCGCCACATTTTTAAAGCTGTCCGCGCCTGTAAAATACCTCCTTTGTTAAAAAATCTTCGACGTGTCACCAAATCCCAAATTGAATGCACTAAGGATCTTATCTCTAAACTTAAAATAGAATCCTTTGGTTATGACAAAATCGTTATGGATTTAAATATTGTATGTCGAATTAAACTTATTAACTTCATTCGTGATGTTCAGTCGAAAAGCAGTCACAAATTCATGAAGACATTAACCAAAACACTTGTTAAAGAACAAAACCACGTGGCATTTCCTACCAATCCACGAAAATACACACAGAACTTATCTAATAAAAAAAACTAAATCGAATTGAAACTGAAGTACTCTGTCTTGGATTCAAATTTCATATCCCAAGAAAATGCAACAGAATAGACACTGAGACCCAGTTTGAATACTTATATCAACAACTGTCAGATTTTAAACCCATGAACGACGAAAAGCACAGTTGGTTTAAATCTAAATTAGTGGATATCACAAACCAGTATGTTACGACACCAATCCCACACTTAAGGGTGTTCACCGAAGACTACCATCAAGCATTAGAAAAACTTACTAAAGACGAAACAATAATGCTACTTCGTCCGGATAAGGGTTCCAGTGTAGTCATTCTTAACAGAGATGAATATATCAATAAGGTAATTTATTTATTTATTTGAACACATAAATATTGGTACAAGAGAGCGCCAATATATATGCGCCACACAAAACAATGGGAATTCGAAGAGAAGTAAAAAGAAAAAAAAACTAAGGAACGCAAAAGAAAAAGAGAGTAATGACGAAGAGGTACAATCAGAAGAAATCTTTCAGGTAAAGGAGACACAACCACTTTTTATGAAGAAAGTAAAAGAAGGTTACAGCAGGATCGCCACTGGCTTCTATTCTGAGCCATATCTGATAACGTCTCTAGCCACTGTGTAGCACCATCTCTCGGACCCCAGCCAGGGAGTCGTGAAGGACCAACACAAGCCAGTCCTTTGCAGCTTTCTTTCATCCCACGACACCATGTCATGCACTGACCACCTCTCCGCTTCTTCCAACCAGTCCCAGAGTCGGCAAATAATGCACGACGTGGAATTCTCTGGGACGACATTCGGAGAACATGTCCAAGCCACCGAAGTCGGTGTTTCAAGATGGTGACACCAATTGAGTTATCATCTCTGTGCCCGAACACACGATGCCGAACCTCTGCATTACTGACATGGTGTTGCCACTGAATGTCAGCAATCCTTCGGAGACAGCGATGATCGAACACAGAGAGTCGTCTAACGTCCTCAACTCGGAGAGGCCAGGTTTCACAAGCATAGAGCAAAACTGCTCTCACCGACGCGTTGTAGATCCGGCCTTTTACAGCCAGACTAACATCACGAAGGCGCCAAAGGTGGCCCAGATTGGCATAAGCCGCTCTGGCTTTCACTATTCGTGCATTGATCTCATCACTCACACCCCCACCAGCACTTATGCAGCTACCCAGATACACGAACTTCTCAACTACGTCTATCTGCTCACCGTCCAGGGTGAGTACAGGATTAGAATCCTGCCAGTCTTGTAGAAGTACTTTGCACTTCGAACGTGCAAAGCTCATACCATACCTACGGACATTGATTGCCAACTGATTAAGTGCGGATTGCATGGCATGGATATCATCACACAGTAAGACAATATCATCAGGATGGTCAAGGTCAGAAAGTCTTTCTCCAGGCAACAGATCCACACCACCATTACTTACATTCATCAGAGCTGTTTCTAGAATGTCATCGATGGCAAAGTTGAAGAGGAATGGTGAGATTGGGCAACCCTGCCTAACCCCACTGCTCGAATGGAACAATGGAGAGAGGTGGTTGTATGCCCTCACTCTGCCTGAGGTGTTTTTATACAGGGCTTTTAGGATGTTAATAAACTTCTCAGGCACACCCTTCTTCAATAGACAATCCTAGAGAACAGTCCTATCCAACGAATCGAAGGCAGCCCTGATGTCAAGAAACACTACGATTGTTGGCCTTTGAAAAGTATGGCGGTGTTCTAACATTTGGCGGAGGGTGAAGATATGATCAATACATCCTCGACCAGAACGAAACCCAGCCTGCTCCTCGCGAGTCAATCTTTCTCGGGTTTTGAACAACCTACGAAGAATGACGGAAGCCAATAGCTTGGACGCAATCGGAAGTAAACTTATCCCCCGATAGTTGTTACAAGAACGACGTGAACCCTTTTTAAAGATAGGGACAACTATCGACTCATTCCATGACGTTGGTACACTCTCTAGTTCCCAAACCTTTGTAAACAACGTCGTCAATTCCTTAGTCAAAAAGTCACCACCATCTTTAAAAAGAGCCGAAGGTAAGTCATCTGGGCCAGGTGATTTGTAACGCTTCAAGAGTTGGAGTTCCTCGCGGACTTCCTCCTCATTTGGTGGATCAGTCGTCACCGGCCATGGAGGGCAGGACAGTCTGACCGATGTTGCCGGAGCAGCAGGCCAGTTGAACTGCCCTTCGAAAAATTCTGCCCATCGTCCAAGACGTCGATGGATGTTAGTGATTGGCATCCCATCATCCTCGCAGATTGTTTCACTCACACCAGACTTCTTGCTGCCAGTGGCTCGGATGAGTTGGAAGAGCTTCCGGTAGTTACCAGATGCAGCTGCTGCTTCCAGCTCATTAGCACGCATCGACCACCAGGCTTCTCGGTCCTTACGCAAGCTTTGCCCGATTTCCTTACGTAAAATCCTTCGTTTATGGTCAAACTCACGGTTACCCGGAGTAGACCGACGGGCTGTAGTGTTAGTCATTCGTTTTAGCCCATAGTATATCTTATTCTAGTTTCCGGACATTCCATTCTACTCATTTAACTTGAGTCATGTTTTGACCTTGTTAATTATTCGCTTGTTAGCCTTGACTGTATTCATGTGAGCGTATATGTATGTACACTTGATGTCCCATGACTCATCACATGTCTGTAGTTCATTTTGTCTGCCTATAAATATTGAGTAACGTTCGGCTTGAATTGGAGTTGGCTTCACAGACATCCTCCCTGTGCGTCGTTTCTCTTTGTTCTATCGCATTCACTTTACATACAAAATATATGTATCCAATGTCCATTCTCGTTAATTGACTTATTTAATTCCGTTATGGACTAACGTGATTTAAGTCGACGATGATATACGAGAATCAGCGATAGCAAACATACGTACACACTAAATGGAGTCAGATCAAAGGGTCTCATCATTGGGGAGCTGGTTCCCTCCGAAGTTTCCCTCAGGATAGCTGGCATTCTGAGAAATAAACAGTTTTATCCGGTAAAGCGAATGATTAGAGGCATTGGGGATTTATCCGGTAAAGCGAATGATGAGACCCTTTGATCTGACTCCATTTAGTGTGTACGTATGTTTGCTATCGCTGATTCTCGTATATCATCGTCGACTTAAATCACGTTAGTCCATAACGGAATTAAATAAGTCAATTAACGAGAATGGACATTGGATACATATATTTTGTATGTAAAGTGAATGCGATAGAACAAAGAGAAACGACGCACAGGGAGGATGTCTGTGAAGCCAACTCCAATTCAAGCCGAACGTTACTCAATATTTATAGGCAGACAAAATGAACTACAGACATGTGATGAGTCATGGGACATCAAGTGTACATACATATACGCTCACATGAATACAGTCAAGGCTAACAAGCGAATAATTAACAAGGTCAAAACATGACTCAAGTAGAATGAGTAGAATGGAATGTCCGGAAACTAGAATAAGATATACTATGGGCTAAAACGAATGACTAACACTACAGGGCTTCAATGAGTTGTAAGGAACCAGAAGAAACCCAGTGCTTAAAAGCGGGACGTTTCGCAAACCCACAACTGACTGTTCCCGCCATTTTCATGGCGTCATGCAATTGCAACCAATGCTCATCTATACTTTTCGGTGGAGTGGTAGCTAGCCTAGAGGCTAGCTCGGTTCGATACTTACTTGCAACAGAAGTTGCAA